GTTCCCATTTTTAATTAAAATAACACTTTAGTTTAATTCCAAGTCATGTTATGTAATGATCAGATTTCATTATATAATGTAGCCTAATTCTTTGTAGATAAATACACTGGTACAGCATGCTGTGATCAGCTCTCTATAGTGCATAACAAAGAATGGGAAAAAGAACTTACCATCCATAGATATTATTTTTACCTTTAAAGTTTTAAGTGTATTTAAGACTAGAAGACGTTTAACACTTGTTTCACAAAAAGGCACAAAATGACTGAGAAAAGTTTGGATGCAGACACAGGCTCCGCAGTCCATGATGTAGTTCTGTGTTAAGAAAGCCGAGCCTTTACAGTGTACAGAGGGCTGGCGTTGGCACCAGGTGTGCTAGCCTGGCAGAGGGATGCTCCATTCCTGTCCAGCACAAAGAGACAACCTTCACTTTCTTCTAGTTACTGTGTTTCTTCTGCACAATTTCAGCTTTCTAAATACTGTCTCTTTCTCTCTCTTCCCCTTCTTCTTCTTTTTGTTTTGTTTTGTTCTCCCATTCCACCCCATTTATCTTCTTCTGTCCCTTTGATTAATTCTGTGTGCTCTGTAATCTCTTTTCACCGTCATCGTTGCCTGGTGATACTCGGACAGTTCCCTTAACAGATCTCAGCTGGGCTTCCATTGACCAGCCTCTGACTGGCACCATTGCTGCTTCCCTTTAAAGAAATGGCTACAGTGTCTTAGCTGGATAGATGGGCTAGGTGTTTGTGACATAAAAAAGGAGTCTGCTGTTGTTAAAATGATGATTTGAATCAAATGAGGAGATAACAGGCTTCCTTAGGCATTATTAAAATGTCATTATCTGTGCAGCAGAGGGGAATACGAAGGCTCTGTCCTGTGTGTTTGTTTTAGAACCAATTAAACTACCTACTACAAAGCTAAACATGCGAGATCGCCCGTTTGTCATACAACTGCCACACACACGATTTAACCAAAGAAAATGGTTTGTGTAAGATTAGGCCTCACCTTCTATTCCAAGGTCTTGTTCCCATTCTGTTTTTTTGTTTTTTTGCATTTGATTTTATTGATGCACCCTGAATGCATTTATATATTTTGTTATTGCTTTGTTTTATAATCATGTTCTTTACGCCCTTCGTTCCCCTAACTGTATTTTGGCTTGAATTTCCATCCCTTGTACACCTGTTCTCTCTCCTTTTCACCCTGGTCTGTATCTTTTTGTTTTTCTTCTCATCCTCCTTGCTGGCTGTTGCTGTTTCTCTGCTACCCAACAGGGTCTAGCTGCCAGATGCAGCCTGCACAGTTGGCACATGGACGGCAGAGCTGTTGGATTGCTGAACGGACATTTGCCAGGTAAGGCTTATTGGAGGAGGCAGTAAAAATGTTAAGACTCACACACGCTGTGGCGGAAGGTAACTCAAGTACTGTACTTGAAACTGCGCATTACTAAAGTCCGGTTCAATGTAGCCAGGAAGCTCTGCTCTTACTCCTCAGGTCTGAGACCAGTAGGGGATCAGTCATATGCACTAGGACAGGGGTGGCGAACCTGTTTGCCATAATGAGCCAAAAAAAAAGACTTTATCACTACAAAGAGCCACACAACAGATGAGCAAACAACAGTTCACAACTTATACACCTAATTACATAACACAATAGTTTTCATGGATTTAAATCAGCCTACCTCCTTTTATTTGACTCAGTGGGACACCTGACAGTCCTTGGTTTCCACAATCTCTTTTAGGTCTGGCTTGTATTCAGTTGTGGCTACTCGTAGTAACTCTTTCACATGTGTGTCAGTAAGAACAGAGCGATGCTTTGATTTCACTTGTTTCAGTGTCGAAAAAAGTGATTCACAGATGTAAGTTGACCCAAACATTGACAGTAGTTTGAGTGCAGCCCGTTTGACATTGGGATATCTCTCAACCGGCACAATCTTCCAAAACTCCACGGTTCCTTCCTTCAGAACGCTTTTAAGTCTGTCATCCTCAGAAAGTTCGATCATTTGAAGCTGAGATGCTGCTTCATCTTCTACTAAAGGGGCTTTTAAACAGTCTGATTCAGCAGTGAATGGGTTGATCAGAAATGTAATCTGTGGTCTTTTTTGACGTAGGTTGGAGAATCTCTCCTCAAAAC